AGGAAAGAATCAGGGGCTGGAAGACTAAAAAACTCCCGAAACCCTCTCTCAAAACGTCTTTCTTGGTAGATCTACTTCATTCTTCTCTCCCTCGAGGAAAATGGCAGCCACTGCCAACCGCTCCCAGGTTTACAACCTCTCTGCCTGGGATTTCTGAGTTCTAATCCCAAATTCCCAGGGAAGGAGCTCATTGGCTGAGGTTGAGTCAGCTGTTCACCCCTGAACCAATCATCAGTGGCCAGAACACTAACCAATCAACTGTGAGGACACAGGATAAACAAACATGGCTGCTCCCCTTGCAGCCATGGATGGATGGGAAGTCAGAGTGACCAGAAGATAGGTCTGGGCAGGAAACCCAGCAGGTGTCTACCACTTCCTTAATTCTCAGCAGTCCCTTTGTCCCAGTAACGCCTTCTCTCTCCCCTTCTCTCTTCTCTCGTCTCATCAGCCAACGGGGCTACTCCTGACATCCTGCAGCAGGGAAAGCTGCTGGTTGTGGACTATGCCACGTGCTCCCGCTCTGACTGGTGGGGCAGCTCCGTGAAGACCAACATGATCTGTGCCGGGGGTGATGGCATCATCTCCAGCTGCAATGTGAGTGCAGAAAGTCGGGTGCAGCCCCTCCACAATGAAATGGGGCTGGGGGTGGGGAGAGGCTCTCGGGGGGTCCTAAAATCTGCCCCCTGCCTGCCAGCAGAAGCACCGGAAACAGCTACAGACATTCCCGTCCCTGACCTTTGTCCTTGTCGTCTCTAGAAAAGATGTTTTGAGATGTTCCTTATAGTATCCGCTCCCTCCCTTCGCCCCCCCCACTGCTGGGAAGTCCTTCCTTGGGTCTCATTGGGGTCTCTCATCACCGTCATCTCTCTTATTCTCTCCTCTGTGTTGGAAGGGAGCCAACGGGTGCATGCTCTGAATTAGGGCCTTTCTAAGTGACTTCGGGCTTATCTGTTGAATTAATTGCACTCATGGCCCAGTGTGTCCCCTTATGGTAGCTGCCACAGAGCCTTCCTGGAGACCGTGTCCTAACCAGAAGGAACTGTGAGGGGGTGGACCTTGTATCAGAGTGAGGGCAGAGCAAGGAGCCTCACATGTCCTGCCAATCACACTGTGCCCTACACGCTGCCCCATGCAGACCAGCCCCCGGCAAGGTCCCTCATCATGGGTGGAAATGGCCGGTGGTGGTTGAGCGCCCGCCATTCTAACTGTGGGACACAGTCTCTGCTCCTTCACTTACTGCCTGTACAACCTCAGGCAAGTCACCATCTCTGGGGCCTCAGTATTTCCTGTCAGTGAAATGGGAATACTAACAACACTTACCACATAGGTTTCGGTGAGGATCCGTGAGATGAGGAGTAGGAAGTGCTTGGTTTAGGTCCAGGCACCCAGAAAGAATAAAGGTTCGTTCTTGTTGGCATTATGGTGCCACCTTGAGCTGTGAGGTGCCACAGGGCAGCTGATCGGAGACCATGGTGACTTGTGGTGGAACAATATAAACATACTGCAAACATGGGAACCCGGGTCTCTAGGGGCAGCCCCTCCCCTTCCCAGCACCCTCCCAAGCTGCCAGGCCCTCCTGACAGAGCGCCGCCTTCCCCAGGGAGACTCCGGAGGACCCCTGAACTGCCAGAAGGACGACGGCCAGTGGGAGGTGCACGGCGTGGTCAGCTTCGGGTCCTCCCGCGGCTGCAACTACTACCACAAGCCCTCTGTCTTCACCCGCGTCTCCAACTACATCGACTGGATCCATTCGGTAAGAACCGGCTGCACCTCAGGCCCCAGGGGCCGGACCTTCCGGATCTGGCTCCATCTCGGGTTGGAGGACCCCCTCCTTCCTCCTGAGAGCCAGGCCGGAGCCCCTAGAGGAGGCCGCAGACCTGGGCAACCCCTGCGCGGCCCCCTGCGGGCCCCACAATTTCTGTGTGGATGAAGTGGGCGAAAATGCTCGTAGAGATTGACAACAGAGGATAGTCCTCAGGCACTAAGAGTGGGTTCCTTAGGCTTAGTGGGGTGTTCTGTGTTTGCTTATCTGTGTGTCAGCCCAGACCCCACCTTCCAATGCTATCAGCGTGTTTATCTGGTAGGCTGAGACCCGCCACAGTCTTAATCGTGGGAAACAGCCCCCACCCCCATCCCCACCCCCGTGCAGAAGGTAGGTGACAACCATCTCGCTCTGCACGGGACTGGAGGTTTCCTGGGAGGCGGGACTTTCCATTTTAGATGGGAACAGGCCAGACGAATGGGACTCAGCTGGTCTCACTGTTATAGTGAATGTGTCCCCAGAGACATGTGTCCTGGCAGCTCAAAACCTGGACCTCATAAGCTTCCACGCCAGCCCAATTCCTATTCTAATGAAGAACATGCATTTGTAATAATGACCATAAAAATTGTTCTTTGAAAGACTGGCACCAATCTTGGAAGAAGCGGGGTTACCATCAGCAGCAGGTCTGAGCAGCCCCAAAGGGAAGAGTCATCACAAGAAAGGCGGGCCTGGCCCTGGCCGGGTGCTCAGTGGTTAGAGCGTCAGTCCTGGGACTGAAGGGTCTTGGGTTGGATTCTGGTCAAGGGCATATGCCTCCATTGCAGGTTCAATCCCCCGCGCTGGTCGGGGTGAGTGCAGGAAGCAACCAATCGATGTGTCTCTCTCACATCGATGTTTCTCTCCCCCCACCCCTTCAACTCTCTCTAAAATCAGTGGAAAAAAATATCCTCGGGTGAAGATTACAAAACAAAAAGGAAAGCTGGGCCTGGGGAATCTGGTGGTATGGGAGGAGGAGGCATTGTGCCTAGTGATGGCTGCTGGGAGGGAAGACACTCCATGTTGATTAGGGACACTTTTCCCCACCTTCTGGCATCACCCCCACCTCAGTTTGCTCTTCTGTGAAATGGACTTGAACGCGACCAGGACTCCTCCGTGGCTTTAGGAGCCAGAGCAAGTGGGAAACGGGTGTTTGTGGCCAAGCCCCACAGAAGGGGAAGCTGGCATCCGATTTCATTATTTTAATTTTCAAAAACTATTCAACTGACTCAAAGTGACACTGTTATAAAACCAAATATGAAACCACAGCCATGAGCATGTGGTCACGGGGAAACATGCCATCAGACGGGTCCCATCAAAATAAGCAGGTGGCTGCCTCCAAGTTTCCCATTCACGCTCGCCGGCTCCTTGCTCATCCGTCTGCCGCTGGCACCGCTTTCCAAGTGTCACAGACACCAGGGATTCCAGGCAAGTTTGTTGGAGAGAAAAGTAAAATCAGGAAGAGAGTGGCTATTCACTGGTAGGCTTTTTGTCTTTGTTTTGTGTTGTGTTGGGTAAACTGGGGGAAAGCCACGATTCCGTTTTGGCAGAGGAACATTGGAGTCTGGCTTTTAGAGTGTCACCAGCATTTCAAAGCAGGCTGGCCCAAGACAGGCTGGACGGAAGGATGCTTAGAGGACTTTTCCCAGACACGTCCCAGGATCCTTTCCCAGCCCCGCTGCCATGGGAGTCACCGGGCAGCTGGTCAGGGCCCAGAACAGAGTCCAAAGGCAACTGTCCTGAGTTTTTGTCCCAGGATCAGCTGTTCCCAGGAACAGACACAAGCACCACAGAGGAGGCCGCAGCCGAAAGCATGGCCAGATGTCAGAGGGGATCGACGGGAAAGTAAGCTTTTGCAGGCAGCTAGGCAGCGGTCCTGGGTTCACGGGACAGCAGCCAGGCAGGCACATGTGCCTGTAACGGGTCCCAGGCGTGGCAGAACCAAGCACCCAGCTGTCCCCTGGTGGAGGCTGCCCGGCAGCTGCAGCGGCTGGTGAAACCTCGCAGCGGTCACAGCCCAGCGGCACGCCCGGTGTCACCCACAGGCGCTTGGGAGCACCAGCCCAGACAAACGCAGACGGGCGTCAAGGTCAGGAGGTTGCCATGGAAAGGCAGGAGCAGGAAAGTGACAGGAGACAGGTGGCCAAGGGCAGTCACCTTTTCAACAAATGTTCACTGAACGACAGCAACACATGAGTCTTCAGCGTTCACCACTTTTTTATTTTTACTTTAGAAGGTAATACATACTCTTTACAAAAACATTAAAAGAATAGAGGAGTATATCGAGTAAAAAAAATACGCCAAAAAAAGGAAGGAAAAATAATAATAATAGTCCCCCTTGTCTCTCATCTCCAATTCCACCCCCGCCCCAGAGATCATCATCGCTAACAGAGCCGTCTTCTGGACTTGGTTAGGTCCACCTATACACACTGTCTTCTAACCAAAAATAGGATTTTACTCTTCATACTGTTCTGCAACTTGGTTTTTTCACTTAACACCAAACCACATCTACACGTGAGCACATATATTTATGGCATCCTTTGGAACAGCTAAGTAATATCCCGTAGTGTGACTGTCACGAACGAAGCTTCCCCCCGCTTCCTGGTTCCCACCCCCACACGGCGCAGGGACATCCGGGACATGCCTTCCTGCACACGGGTGGAGCATCTGCTACAGCCATCCAGCAGCATCTCCGGGTCATGGGTGGCGTGTGAACACGTTTCAGAGAAAACTGCTAAACCGCCTTGGAACACAGGCTACAGCAGCCCTACGCAAACTGCGCGGTGCCTGTTAACAGGTTCAGGGCTCTCGAACCCTTTGTGAAACACATGGAATCAAAAAGCTATCAGTTGGAGGCGTTCTCGCGCAGGTCGGTGGAAAGCTGTGATAACTAGAGCTCCTCGGGCGAGCGCTGCTCCACCCCGGCCGCCTCTGGTTGACCGAGCACAGAGCCTGGAGGAGAAGGCCGGCCACGCACAGCTCCCTGCTCTCTGGGTTAACCTGCTTGTTTTCTTCCGTCTCCTGCAGGTGATGGAAAATAACTAACCACCAGAAGTTCCCAGCACTGTTTCAAACTTGGACAGGCCCCAGAGAAAAATAATAAAGTGACAACACAAATCACACCTGGGTGAGAGTCTTATTAGCCAACTATCCTCACATCCAAGGCTCTAAAAGCAAAAAAGAGGCCAGATCAGGATCATTCAAAAGACCTCAGGGTTGGGGCCTTCTCTGGGGTGGCCAGCCGATCATGTCCCTGTCCCCAGTGCAGGGTCCTCCGGCCAGGAAGGCCCCTGGAGGCACAGGCTGGACTCAGAAGACCCGGGTGCAGCCAGGTCTCTCCATGGGTTAACGGGGTTCCCCTGGACAAGCCACCTGACCTCCCTGAGCCACCTCCTGGGATGGGGTAGGGGTGGGGGTCAAATGAAATATTTTGAAAAAAGCAAGTCTCCTTTATAAGGAAGAACAAACAGGTGAAGCAAAATGAGGGGGCAGACAGGCACAAGAGAGTCCATATTCACCTGAGGTTTATTTTGTTAAGGACATTGCAATGCAGGAAAAATTAATAACTTTCAGGACTTCATGTAAGATTCACAGATGGCAGCTGTTCAGACCCCAGTAGTCCCAAACTCGCTGCTCTAAGAGATGCTGGTTTGTGCGTAGCTAAAACATCCCCACAGGTCAGTGGTTCGCAAGTGGGGGCCCACCAGGGGACATGTGGCGATGTCTGGAGGCATTTCTGGTTGTCACTGTCCAGAGAGAGATGCGACTGGCAGTCGGGGCAAATGTCACCGCAGGTGCCTCCTGGGTAGACGCCAGGGATGCTGCTAAACATCCTACCATGCACAGGACAGCACCCACCCCCAGCAGAGGAGTGTCTGGCCCCAAATGGCTGAGAAGCCCTGCTCTAGAGGAAATACAAGGATCAGACCCGGTCGCAAGCCAGGCAGCCAGCCACGGGGGAAAGCCGCACTCCGTCCACGGCATTCTTCTGCTCCTCTCCCTCCATCGTCGGTCGGTCGCTTGTCTCCAACTTGGAAGCTGCTAAGAGCCTGTCTGCCACCAGCTGAGAAAGAGCAGACCCCCAACGGCTACAAAATCCTTCCACAGGGGACAGCCGGAGTTGAGGGAAGCCCAGGCCTCGGCAGACACCGGGCAGGGAGCAGGAAGGTCAGGGGGTAAAGGGTCAGGCAGGGTCGGGGGCCTGGCGTCATGAAGTTTTAAAGAAGAGTTTTTTCCGGAGGAAATTAAAACACCCAGGAATCTGTTTGTAAATGCCTTTCTCCGAAACAGCATTAGCGACCTGTGAAAACACGACCACGGGGAGCTCTGTGAGTTCTCTCCATCCAACCAAGAATTCCTTCCGTTTCTGGAATCCCAGAGGGGTGGGGGCGTGTCTCCTAAGGAAGCACCTTTAAACGGCTCAACTGCAGCCTCCTTGGACGGCTGGGGGTGGTTAAAGAGCAAGCATCTCAACCGTAAATTCAAAAAAAACCTCAGAATTCAAAATTTCCAAATTCAAACCTTACCAAGTTCACCTGCCCATGGCACGTGGGGCCCTGCACCTGGCTTTTCTTCTCCTCTCTGCTCGGCAAAGCAGAGCCAGAGGCTACGCAGAAGACAGGAGGTCCCTGCCCAGACAGCCCCCTCTCACGGCACAGACACCTGAGCAGACACCCATGTGCTCTGGGACCCTGGGAGGGAGCCAGTGCTCTGAGTGGGACCTCACTCAGCGAGGCTGGGCCTATCAGGACATCCTCGCTGCTCTCTCGCTGGGGCCTCACCCTGAAGAGGAGCCATGATTCTGGAGGGTCAAGGGTATAGGACCATGCAGTGGGGCGAAGGGTGGAGGGACAGCCTTGCGACCTGCCTAGGGGGTGCCATGCTCTGTCCACTGAGCCAGCCCAGCCCGGTGCTGAGGATGGGCTCCGTCGGGAGAGAGGGGAGCGGAAGGTGTCAGCCTGGGGACCTCGGAGAAGCCGAGGAGGATGTGGCCCTGGCATAAGGGGCCAATGTCACCACAGGTAGTAACATCTCACATTAGAGAAGTGAAAGCACTGACGCATGGCAAGCCAAGGTGTTATGTCTGCGTGCTCCCCACACCACCCCGCCCTCCCAGCAGCCTCCCCTCTCCTTCCCAGAGGCGGAGCTCACCCGGAGCAGGAGGCTCTGCAGGTCTTCCGAGTGAGCCCACTGCTCCAAAACGCCAACCAGGGTCTCGATGTACCAGGAGCCGCTCTTGGTATCCCTCCAGGAGACAAAACCTTGGGAAGGAGAAAGGCCGGGCATTGTTGGAGCCACCCCGCCCCATGTATGCAGGCGGCCCCCCACCCCCCCCCCCCAACTCTGACCCATTCACACATTAGCAGGAGCGGCCCACCGCTCTGCGCCCTGTCCCACTCCCCTGTCCCGCGTGCCATCTTATTTCATCCTCACCACCACCTCGTGACGATGGCTAGGATTCCAGCTTTCCAACAAGGACACCAAGGCTAAGAGGTCAAATGACTCCTCCGAGGGACCAGAAAGGAAGGACACTAACTCCTGTCCCACCTGCCACGTGCCAGGGACTGCGTTCAGCGACGTGCCAGTCACCTCGAGAAGCCCTGTGACAGGTAGGATCCTTAGTCCCACTTTAAAGATGAGAAAACGGAGGCGAGGCCAGGATGCGGTGAGGCACACAAGCCCCAGGGCACATTCCTCCATAAATTTTCCTACCATGGCGCCCGCCTGCCTGAACCCAAGGCTCAGAGAGGTGAAGTAACTTGCTCAGGGCCACACAGGTGGCAAGAGGGGAACGGAGACTCGGGCCCAGGTGTTTTCTCTCACAGCTGCTTCTGGGACCGATGGGAGGGCCCCTGGCGGATGCACTCACCTGGGAAGGTGGAGTAAGACACGAAGATGTCACTCGGTGTGGGCAAACTAGACACGGCATCCGGCTGGTCGTAGCTGCCGGGGTGGTCCTGGAACGGGAAGGCGTCTGGCTCGGGGTTACCGTCAGGGGCCCTGTCCTCAGGGGAAGCAGAGACCACCTCAAACCCATGGTCCTTCTGCCCTGCAGGGAGCGAAACCAGACAGCACTCGTCACTGAAACACATAGACCATAGCTCGGGCTCCATGTCGCCTGTCCCAGCCCAAGACCGCCCGCTCTCTGGAGCAGGGTGCTGGGCAAAGACGTGTCGGAAACCGAAACAGAAGTTTTACTTTTGTCTACGACAAGCGTTTTACATATTCATTAAGTAAAATTTGGGGGCAGAGGGTGAAAAGATGCAGCTATAATGTAAAATACAGCTATAAAAAGTTACAAGGTGTGCACCCAAAAGAATTCAAAGCAGAGTCCGAAGGAAAACATGTGCCCAGAGGGTCACAGCCGGACTATTCCCAACAGGCAGAGATGGGAACAGCGCAGGTGCCCCTCCACAGGTGAGTGGACGAGACGTGGCAGAGACGCCGGATGGAAAGTGCTCAGGCTCAGAAAGGAACGGAGCGCTGGTCCACGGCACAAGTGGGTGAACCGTGGGAGCACGCGGAGCGAGAGGAGCCGGACACTAGAGGCCTCGGAATACGACTCCATGTCCAGAGGAGGCAAATCCCCGGAGAGGACAGCAGGTTCGCTGTCACCAGCGCTGAGAGGAGGCGGGGATGGGGACGGAGCTTCCTTTTGGGGTGATGAGAAAGTTCTGGAATTAGATGGTGGTGATGCGAATGTACTCCATACCACTGGGTTGTATACTTGATGGTTAAAATAGCAAGTTTTATGTCATTAAGAAAACAAGTCACAGTATTTCAGCCTTAAAAATCGGAAGGAGCCGTGACCGGTTTGGCTCAGTGGATAGAGCGTCGGCCTGCGGACTGAAGGGTCCCAGGTTCGATTCCCATCAAAGGCATGTACCTTGGTTGTGGGCACGTCCCCAGTAGAGGGTGTAGAGGAGGCAGCTGATTGATGTTTCTCTCTCATCGATGTTTCTAACTCTCTATCCCTCTCCCTTCCTCTCTATAAAAAAAAATCAATAAAAATATTTTTTTAAAAATGGAAAGGAAATTTTGATGCATGTTACAGCTTGGACGGGCTTGGAGGACATTCTGCAAAGTAAAGCACGCCGGTCACAGAAAGAAGGCAGCTGAAAGGGCTTCAGGAAAGAGAGGCGGAGGCGGAGGCGGAGTGGCCCAGAGGGTCCCCGAGGGCAGGGTGTCTGGAGCAGGGGCCTGGGACCCAGCCTCCGATGTGAGACGGGAGGACAGTCCTGGTGGGAAAAACGGACAGGGTTGGGTGGCTCGTTTTTGGTGGGAAATAGCAAGGAGGGAGGTCACAGCTCACCCAGGAAGCTGGGGTCTTGTCTGCAGGAACAAAGATGAGACAGCGATGGTTCTGGCAACCCCATAACAGCAACTCCAACATCTGCTGACCCCGCACCCCACACGGCTGAAGCTCAGAAACTTGGTAATTTGCGTTCTCACAGCTCACGGGCAGGGGCCAGGATTCTGCCTTATACCTTCCTGCCTCTCGGCCCCGCTGCTGTGCCCCAGGGAGGCCCCCACGCCTGCAAAGGGGGCTTGAGGGTGTGGAAGCTGGACTGCAGCTTACTCAGGTCGCTGCGTCTGGTTATTTTCTTGGTTGAGATTCTAGAATCTGGGACTGACCTGAGTGGACCAGGGGAGGGGACCTGAGATGTGAACACAGGACTGCGGCCGGGGCCACCTGGGCAGCCAGGTGTGGGGGTCGGGGGGCACTTCAGTGGATAGTGGGGGATGACGAAGAATGGCCTAAGGAGACAGAGGTGGGCAGAGGGACTGCCCGTGAAAAGCGGAGCAGAGACAATAGGATCCGAGAGGGGACTCTGGGGAGAAACGAGTGGGCCGGACAGGGGACGCTAGCCGTGTGTATTCACAATTCAACCTCATTCTACAAATCTGATGCGAAAGCCTAGCTCCCGGGTTACGCACTGTATGCACAGCTTTGTTCTTAAGGAGGCTCGATCAGATTTCACTCACAGATACTTTCATACGGTCCTATCTCAAAGTCAGAACTCCCCGGAGGCGGGACTAACTCCTTCCCCGTCAGCGAGAACATTCAGTGGGGAGAGGACCTGTTGGCCGAGCACCTGCAACCCACAAGCACCGCAGCCTCCCGCGCCTCCGCGTGCTTCTCGGCAGGAGCTGTAACAGGGCAGGCCCTCGGAGGCCGCCCGTGCATCGCCATGCGGTGTCACCGTGCACCATACTGCTCACCAACCCTCCACACCAAAGTTCCCCACTTGGACGCGGGTTTCCACCCAGGAGCCCGCGCCCGCGCTGCCTCTCCGTGAAGAGCGTTAAAGGATTTTAAATGGTTTTACACTGTAACAACAGGGAGCTCTAAAACAGCAACCAGAATCCAGGACGGACTTCCTGCTGCATGTCAACAGGACACCCCGCCAGACACACTGAGATGGGGACATGGCTATTTCTGTTCTCAGCTGACAGGCCGCCCCCGTGTGGCCGCAGCGGTCATCACAAGCTCCTGCGGGGGCTCCGCAGGGACCAGAATGCCCAAGGCAGCTGCGTTCCAGCACCGAGCCTTGGTCTTCCCAGCGAGTTGTTTGGGTTTGTTTTTTCATGGCGGGAGTCTACATTATTTCAGATTTCACTCGCAGATATTTTTATATGCTTCTATTTCAAGTTCAAATAATTAGAATCTACATAAGATGCAACCAAACTGTGAGCTTTGTGCCAGGCGAGGACCTGGCTGTAGGGCAGACAGGCCTGCCCCTGCCCTGAGGGAGCTGACCAGGGCATGAGGCTGTCTCAACACAAGAAGGTGCTGTGAGCCCTGACCGGTTTGGCTCAGTGGATAGAGCGTCGGCCTGCGGACTGAAGGGTCCCAGGTTCAATTCCGGTAGAGGGCATCGTGTACCTTGGTTGCGGGCACATCCCCAGTGGGGGGTATGCAGGAGGCAGCTAATCGATGTTTCTCTCTCATCGATGTTTCTAACTCTCTGTCCATCTCCCTTCCTCTCTATGCAAAATCAATAAAATATATTTTTAAAAAAAGAAGAAGAAGAAGGTGCTGTGACAGGGAAGGACAGGAGCGGCCTGAGCACAAGAGCCAGCTAATCCTGAGGTTGGAGGAAGCAGGTGTTTCGGGAAGACTTCCTGGAGGCCGTGACAGTTAAGTTTTAACCAGAAGGACGGATGGTCAAGAGTTGGCCAGGAGACAAGGCAGAGGATGGCACCAGGAAAGGCAGAGGGGCAGGCCAGAGCCTGTGGCAGCCCGGGAAGGTTGAGCGGCACTGGGCAGGCACAGCATGCCGGGCTTGGGGAGGCAAAGGGGCTGGGGCCAGATCACCAAGGGCCTTGTGGGCCCCACTATGGAGTCCAAAGACATGGCAAAGATCGTGCTACTGAGAATGGGTATTGGGGCGGGCACGGAGCTGGAAGACGGGCTAACTAACTTTCCCAGAAAGCTGGCCTCCCTTTCTTGGGGGTAGTGGGAAGGAGATCTGGTTGAGGGAGCTCAGGAGAATGACAACAAGGAAAATGAAGGAGTTTTTTCTTTTGTTTTTAATCCTCCCCCAAGGACATGTTCAGAGAAAGGAGAAGGGAGACATAGACAGAGAGAGAAACATCAATGTGAGAGAGAAACATCGATCAGTTGCCTCCCGTGCATGCCCCAACCAGGGATTGAATCCGAAACTTAGGTACATGCCCTGACCGGGAATCAAACCCGCAACCTTCCAGCATACAGGATGACACTCCAACCCACTGAGCCACACCGGCCAGGGCTGAAGGAGTTGTTCTTTCTCCTCCACTTGGTTTATTTTTGTCAAGTCTCTAGCGTTGAAGGTGCCAACGCTGCAGGAACCTCTGCGTTGAGGCCTCGAAAGGCTGGACAGAGCAGACACCTACTCTAGCCAGATGCAGGTACTGCTGCTCGAACAACAGCGACCATGTGCGGGCCCTCTGCCTGCCTGGAGAGACCCCTTGGATATCGTGGGGGGCTGGATGGAGCAGGAGGCAGGCGGCGGCTCCTTCCCCACCCGCTTCTCCCGCAGGGAGGCTAAGGACCTGCTTACCTCCCCCGCAGGCCTGGATGAAAAACAGCTTGGGCTTCCCTCCCAGGCTGGGGCAGCCGGTCCCGTTGAAGATGTTCACGATTCTCTCCACGGGCACAGGACTCCCATCTGTGCCATACACAGCCCCCGGGAACTGGAGGTGGCTGGCCTAGAAGACCAAGAACCCTGGTTACAAAACCAAGAAGCCGGGGAGGACGCCAACAGCCGCCCCGGGAGGCTGAGGCCCCTACCTGGCAGCCGTGAGAGAGGATGACCACCACGCAGCAGTCCAGGGCCCTGTGGTCCCGCCGCGCCAGCTCCATCAGAGCCTGGACCATTTGCTGCAGAGAGAAGGGTGCAGGTGAGCCAGACCCCGGCGGATCAGGTCCCCATCCTGGGCACCTGGGCAGAGCGCCCTCCCTGCTGCCAGGGCCAACACGGGAGTAATGACACTCGTAGCAGTCACAGCAGCCACCATTCTTGGGGCAAAGGTGCTGTGCTGGGCACTGTTCACTGAATCCTCACAGCGACGCTAGGAGGCCAATCCTGTTCTCTCTGCGTAGACAATGTCACTGAGGCTTGGGAGTCACCTGCAACGACCAGGCGGGCCAGTCCTCCACCCAGGGCTCTCCGAGTCTGAAGCTTAAACTGGAAACCACTGGGCAATACTGCCTCTCATGGTCCTACAGACCTAAGGGCTAGTCCTGGGGAGTCGCCTGCATTCAGGGGTCCCTCGCAGGGAGTCCGCCCCGCCTCGCCCGCCTCTCAGCAAGGACAAGGCCTCACCTTGGCAGTCAGGTCGCTCTCCACCTCCACCGCGAAGTGCAGCAAGCGGAAGCATCTCTGCAGCTTCTCGCAGTCCACGTTGGAGCCCTTGCGGGTGCTGAGCCCCGACATAAGGCAGAAGTTCACGTTGTTGATAATGAGGCAGTGGCCACAGGGGTCCGCGTTCAGGATGTACGCCTGCCAAGCACAGGGACCAACGTAAACCGGGGTCTCACTGCTCTCACCAGGCGAGAAGGCGGGAAGGTGGCCCCTGGGTTTCACTCAGGTGGTGGGCAATGGGCAATCGGGAGCAGTGAGACAGGAAAGGGGTCTGCCCTGCCTCTGAAGGAACAGCGGGGTCCACGCCCAGCATTGCAGGGCTCGGCAAACAGACTGCAAAGCAGACGGAGGGGAGCACTAGGTGTGATGTTCAAATCGCTCGAAGTGGGGAGATCAGTTCCCACGACCGTGCTCAGGGGTGGGAGCCCCTAGCTTAGAAATCCAACACCAAAGGACCTACAGACCGCCCAGTCCAGGGGAGCACTGAGGATCATGTGGGTGACTCTGTGGGCAGGCTCGTGCCCAGCCCACCTCGGAGCACTGACACCACTTCCTCCCCAGGCTCAGCATTTCCCTTGTAATCCTCTCTCCCATCAGCCTGTTCATTTTGTCTGTGGTACGTAGCACTCTTTATACTCATATATTTCTTCCTAGAAACATATACAGTATCCCAGCCCAGAGGCCAGAGCAGTCACACAATAGACACTGTGAGTGAGCGAGTGAGTGACTCGGCCTGGGGCAGGTGCCACAGCCAATTCTGACCCCCTGACGTCACAGATGAGGAAAGGGCAGGGTGGGCCAACCTGCTCCAGAAAGAGCTGAGCCGGAGTCAGGAAGCTGTAGGGGCCTGGGACCGGGACCCTCTCTCCAGCTGGGCGGGGTTCCCTGAGCCCCCAACACAACTGCAAGGAAGGGCCTGGGGAGTAAGGAGCAAGAGGGCCCAAAGCCAATGCCACTGGCCCCAAATCATATGATGCTCACCAAATCAGCGTTTCCCCTCCGTCGCCCGTGAGCACCTGGAGAGAAAGACAAAGAGGGAAAACATGAGTGCCAGGGTCCAACAGGGGAGGGGCAAGGGACTCTGGAGCTGAAGAACACAATGAATAAAATAAAATAAATGCAACAGAGAACATCAATCTCAGACTTGACCAAATAGAAGAAAGAATCTGTGATGCAGAAGACGAGTCATTTGAAAGTACCCATTCAGAAAAGAATACATGCTTTTCAGAGGAGGGGTTCCCAAAATTAAAATATTCCACCCATCCCCTATGAGTATTCAGAAAGGCAAAACCAAAATTAAATTCTGAATTTCAGCCTGCCTGGCTGTACCAATGGCCACGCCCACCTCTCTCAGTACTCACAGATATCACTGAATCCTCCAACACCACTGTCCACTGGCCGGGGCACCCCTGGTCTGAGAACCTGTGGATAGAGCTCCTCTGGTCCGACCACCACAGGCCTGAGGTCCCGGGGTCTGATGGCTTCCGGATCCCGCCTTGCTGCTTGGCTACTCGCTCTCAGCAGTGAAGCCAGGCTCTGCTGGCCTGTGTCCTCCAAGCAGGAGATGAACAGAGGAAGGGCCTGACTCCCTCGAGTCTCCAGATCTATGACCAGCTGCCTGGCCTGATCGCGCCGAGACCCAGAGCCGGCCCTCTGTTTGGAAAGAAACACACAGCGCTATTTATTACTCTCACGCTTTCTTGTGACTCTCACCCTGTCCCCCTATCTCCCAGATCGCATAAATCTATAAACAAGCAGCCATATGGGCAAAAACTGAGCCTGCCTTTGCTTACCTATTCATTCAGTATTTTGGAGGCATTTACTATGTGCCCAGGGCTGTGCCAAGCACTAAAAATACAGCAGGGAACAATCTCAGTCCTCAAGGAGCAAACATCATGTGGGGACTGCACACAGATAAATCAATAATGACACAGCAAAGAGAGACGTGCTCCCGGGGAAGCACAAGGGACTGGGAGAGTACAGGGGCATCCAACTCAGTCCTCAACGGTCAGAAAGACTTCCAGCAGGGGACCTTAGCCGAGGCCCTCGAGCAGCGGTTGCCAACCTTTCGGACCTCACGGACCACCCGGACCACTGGTTGGCGACCGCTGCCCTAGAGAATATTAGGATATGAATAGCAAGATGTAATGATGGAAGCAGAGGCTCGAGTGATGTGGCCACAAGCCAAGGAATGCTGGCAGCCTCTCGAAGGAATGGACTCTCCCCTGAGCCTCCAGAAGGAAGCAGCCCTGCTGACACCTTTATTTTAACCACTTAGGACTCACCTTGGATCCTTGACCGCCAGAAAGGCAAGAAAATAAATATGTGTTGCCTTAACAAAAAGAAAAAAAAAGGAAGTGTAAAATAGAAAATGTAAGTTGGGATGGGGGAACTGTAGTGAGGGATGAGGCATTTGTGTGGTCATATCAAGGAAGCTGTTTGAGAAGCCACGCAAGAGTTTTAAGAAGGGAGGGACAGAATCAGATCTGCCTTTTAGAAAATTCATCCTGGAGGCAGGGAGGACAACGAAGGGAGTGAGCCACAGCCAGGTCGGGTGGTGGCAAAGATGGAAGAGAGAAGTGAGAGGGCAGACCACAGAAATAAGGAAGGAAAATGGACAGGATCTGGGTGGATGGTGAAGATGGATAAATGGTTAAGGTTGACAGGTGTGGGGATGGAGAGGCCGGTCACTGAGACAGGGAGTGGGGTGGAAGCAAGAAGATACTGGTTATCTGCTGGTTGTCCTCTGGGACCCAGCCCTGGGCTAGTTCCTCTGGATCCACGGGAATAAGACACAGCCCTATCCTCAAGGTCCTTCAGCAGCAATGCCCACGGGAACATTTTGAGATGATGGAAATGTTCTTTGTCTGCGCTGTCCAATATGGCAGCTAAACAAGTGCTTTTAAAGAGAACCTCCAATGTTCAACTTTATTATTCCCTCCACTACCTGCATAAGGCCGTTCATCTCCAAAACCCCTTACAGAACATAAACTTAACACATGAGGGGCTGGCCAAGGAGGACAGGGCACAGCCAACTCCAACACGTGAGCCCCTAATCTGTGGCTGACACTGCTGCCTCACACCCGTTATCTCATTTAGCCCGCAGGGCAGTACTAATGTTCTCCCCATTTCACAGCCCAGGAAACTGGCTCAAAGAGGGTGACCTGCCCAGGGACAGGGTGCCAGGCAATCTGTCGCCCAAGTGGATGCTGGGACCTTCATGCTAGAGGAGGGGAAGCAAACACGCCTCCTGCTGGCCAAAGCACAGTGCTGCAGCAGCAACAGTGCCCGCTGATGGGCAGGCGCGGGATGGCTTTACCAGCAATGAATGCAGTGGGCTCGCTGCCGGGAAGAAAAACGAAGTTCCCCACAACCGTTTCCCAAAGGGGGTGGGGTACTGGTTGGCACGGAGGGGGGATCTCGGCCATTAAGTTATGTTGTGGCTCCAGCAACCCTCTCCGCGCGGCCTCGCCATCCACGTCCGTGACTGAAGTCTGCGCCCGGCAAGGGAACCGGGGGAAGGGCGGGGGGATGCTGGCTGGGAGGGGGCGGGGCGCACCTGGATGTCCTCGATCATGTCGGGCTTGAAGAGCTCGCAGGTCAGCAGAGCGTTTTTTTTTCTTGCCCCGCCCCCCGCGCCAAACCACGCCCCAAACACACACCCGCGGCGCTGCGGCTGGCCCCCACGACCTCTGGGTTTTACAGAGGCGCGGAGTGGGTCCCACTGCTTGTCACTGCTGTGCCTGGAGCCACGGTCTGTCCCTAGAGGCCCCTCCTCTGCCCCCCGTAAAACCATAACCCTGCCGACTGCTGCCCGTTTCTCATCGTTCACTGTTCCAAACTCGTGTCTCATCCAACCAAGCCCACCTTACAGGCCCCCCCTTCCCTTCCCTGCTCATCCCTTCCCATCTTTCCTCCCGCCCACAAAGGAAAAACACGGATGGAAATCTACTCTTTGGAACCGCCAGTTTGCACCGCTCATTTCCACATTTGAAAAGCAATTGCTCCAGTTTATGGAGTCCCAGCCACTTTACATCACATTACCTCATCTGTCCCTGACTACTGTACTACCAGGGAAGTACTTTCCCCCTTTACGTATGTGGACGCTGGGGCTGGAGGAAGTGAAGTCACCGGTCACAATCACAGAGGTAGTGAGTGGCAGAGGCGGGAAAGATTTACACTGGAACCTGACTGCAAGTCCACACTCTCAGAAGGTATACTCCTGGGCAGCAAAACCGCAGCCCCTTTCATTCATTTATTCCAAAAATATTTACTGCAATCCTGTCTGTGCCAAGGTCTGTGCAAGCTCTGAGAAAAAACACACACACACACACAAACAAAAGCTCTGACATTAGGAGCTTATATTCCAGTGGGAGAAGAGAAATCCTATATAATAAAAGGCTAATAGGCAAATAGACCAAATGGGGGAACAACCAGTCACTATGATGTGCGCTGACCACCAGGGGGCACACACAGAACATGGCAAGTATCGGGCATGGGGGGATGGTGGATCAGGTGAGCAGGGGTGCCAGACCAAGGCAGGGCACCTGTTGCTGTCATCGGGATGAGCCTCTGGTGGTTACTGAAAATTCTTTCCTCCTGTGCTCCACCTCCACAGTCTCACACCTGCTGCTGGCGACCCCACTCGCTCCACACTGCCATCAGCAGGTGCAAGTCAAGTCTGCCAGCAGACAGGGTACCAGGGGCTGCAGCGGCAAGAGGGGCTGGGCCTGGGTGCAGCCAGGACCTGCCCCTGTGCCCCCTTGCAGCCTTGTGGCCCACAGTTCTTTTCAAGGTGCACGAATTTGTGCACTGGACCCCTAGTGATAAAATAAAATATGTAGTATGTTACATGGTGATAAATGCAAAGGACATAAAAATAAATAAAAACAGTGCAGGGAGGATATGAAATCTATATCTGTAAAGAACCTATCTCATTGGCTCAATGAAAGTTTACCTCCTTCACCTGTGCCTCTCCCTTTCCCCACCACCACCACACATCCCTTTCCCGTGCTAAGGGCAGGGGCTGGCACTAAGGTGGAGCCGGCTTTTGGGTAAATGGGTTTAAGAGTCCTGGGTTCTAGGCCTTGGGAAGGTCCCTGCCCCTCTCTGGACCTCAGTCTTCCCATCAGCATATGGAGGAGTTGGACTAGAGAGAATCCCTAAGGTCCTTTCAATTCTGACGCTGTAGGATTCTATGAATAGGCTGAAAGAGAAGCGGGACCAGCGATTGCTTCCCCACCTTAGCAACTGTTGCTAGAGCAGGCCATCTTCTGGTAGCACTGGAAACTCCTCCCTGGATCGGGGAGGTCTCCTTGGCATCCCATCTTGCACCGCGACTTAGCCTAGCTAGCAGGCACGTTTTGACCTCTTTGGTTACGATCATCCCTTTTGATCCAGCCAAAGAGCGCTCCTCATCCCCATGGTAACTGCGTTAGGCCCACGCGCAGACGGCGTGCGGCCAGGGTCAAAATACACTTGCGAACAAGCAATCAGTCCCTGCCTTCGAGGCGCTGGGCCTTTAAGTACCACGTGACTCCCTTCAGGCTGGTCCCTCTCCCTCTTCCCCCTCCCCAGGCCCCGGCGAGCGCTGCTGTGGACCAGAGCCTCCTGGCCAGCGGACTCACTGGACCTTGGACTCTGCAGCCCTTGAGGCCAGTGCCCTTTCCCGGTAACTCCTTCCCGGCGTGACGCGCGGAGCGGCGGACGCGGCGGGGCCGGGCAGGCTCGGTTTTGGGCCCAGCCCAGGGCTCTCGGCGGGCAGCGGAGGAGGCGACCATCTCCTGGAGGGCGGCGACCTCCGGCGGGAGCCCGAGGCGTTGCTCAGACTCCGAGCGCGTCTGCGGAGCGGCTGCCTGGTTTAGGGGCTATGGCCCAAGGGCGGTAGCCTGCCTACCTGTTGGGCAGATGGTTTCCTGCCCGGAGGCCGGCACCGGCCCGCTGTCTGCAAAAGGACTCCACGGCTCCCGCCACTTGGGCCTTCTGTCTGGAGGCGACCGACACAGTTGAATAAGGCCTGATTGCACAGCACGATAGCAAAAGAATGATAGATAACCAGGACCGCTGATGGATTGACCCTCTGCCCCGTAAATACTTCACATGCGTTTAACTCCCAGGTCGATCCTTTCAAGACTGCCTTCTTCGCCCCCATGTTTTGGATAAGGACACTGAGGCTTCACCAGTTTAAGTGATTGGCCCAAGGTCATAACGTGGTGGAGGTTGGGTCCCGGTCTTAGGCTGATCCCAGAGCCCATGCGCGTACCCAGTAGCTACATCCCCATCCAGACTCTTGGCGGGCTGTGCGTGTCTTGAAGGACAGAATAGGTTACAGGTTGCCTGATCGAGGAAGACATTGTTTTCCGATTTTATTCAGCATGCATGCAGTCCTCAACGTCGGCCATCGCGTTAGTCAATGTGCGGACCCTCAGGCAGCATTTAGACTTCTAGCTGTCAGAATCCACAGCTGTTAGAGCTTTCACTCACCCTCTCAAGAAAGGTGCCACCATAGACACTTGAACCTTCAAACTTAGTTTAGGAGAAGTCGGGATAAATATGGCCCTTGGGAAGCCTTTGTATGATATCCCCAAGATCACAATCCTGGAGTGCAAGTGTCTGTGCAATACAGCACTACCGTGTTCATTAACCAGCCAGGATCATTCCAGAAACCCTGGGTGAATTCAGTCACTACACTCACCAGAGATGGAGCTTTAATATTTGAGAACCATGTCTGGTCTACAGCCTTGGTTATTAATTTCCCTTCACGTGGAAAACTAAATTTTTTCTCCAATGGAAGTGAAAACGTTGAGCATTTCCTGAGGTTTCCATTTATTGCTAACGATCAAATTAAAGAGCAGCTTCATTTTTTTGTTGTTCTCATGGGCTTGGGTGAGAAAGAACAGAATTGGAGCATATTTAAATCATAATTGCGCCATTTTTTTAAGAGTATTTCACTTTTGTATTTGTACTTACTTAACTCCCAAGGATGCCACAACTATCTCATTTGGTGATTTTGCACATGGTACATCTGATCATTTCATGAATTTATTTATCATCTATACTAAGTGGGATATTCTTATACCTCATATTTTAAGTTTACACTATTATTGACAGAATAAGTGAAACAGTGTATTTGAGATGTAGTCACCTTGGTTTTCATATACATCTTCCCACATTTGCTTATCATTTCTTCATCTTATTCATTTTTAGTCATTTCTAACGCTTTTTTAATCCAAGGATTCTGGAGAGTTGCTACTCTGATTGCTCATCTTTTCATCTATAATTGTTCTATAATAATTCTTATTTGTGATGTAAATAGTTGTGAGGTTGTTGACTTTTTTTAAATATTAAGTCAAACAGCGTGACGCTTTTCCTGCAAAATATCTTTTCTTTGTTTTGTTTTTCACCTCTATGTCTTATACCTTCACCTAAAAAGGAAGACTGTCCAGGTTTCTACCGCTGAAACTTGTTGCCTCTTCAATTATTTCAGCTCTGGAAAGGAAGAGAAATGGAAGTGAAAAAGTTGAGCATTTCCTGGCAGTTCTTGATAGTTCTGGTTCTGATCCTGCAAATTCTGTCTGCGTTGGCTTTTGACCCGTACAGAGTCCTAGGGGTCACCCGAAGAGCCAGTCAGGCTGATATTAAAAAGGCTTATAAGAAGCTCGTCCGGAAATGGTAGGTGAAACAAAGAAATAGTTTAATGTAAGGTGAGCAGTTTTAGCAGGAAAATGAAGCCTAAATTCCGATTAGCTTTTATTTGTCTCTGTGTTCAATAAATATATAACATGTATCTGTCTAAAATATTTTATTTGGGAGGTCTAATGTTCATGTTTCTCTATAATTTTAGTGATGTGACCCAAAGCCTGTGTTAATGTGAAACCCCCTTAATTGCCCTAGATACCATTAGCATATTTAATATTAAAGTAGGAGGGAGCCTTGACTGGTTTGGCTCAGTGGATGGAGAGTCGCCCTGCGGACTGAAGGGTCTCGGGTTCGATTCCGGTCAAGGGCATGTACCTTGGTTGCGGGCATATCCCCAGTGAGGGGTGTGCAGGAGGCAGCTGATTGGTGTTTCTCTGTTGTTGATGTTTCTAACTATCCCTCCCTCTCTCTTCCTCTCTGTGAAAAATCAATAAAATATATTTTAATAAAATAAAGTAGGAGGGAACTTTAATGTTTAAAATGTATATGTACTCAACAATGGATAAGCTACCCTTCCCATGATGTTATTCATAAAGTAACTCCTCATGCGTGTCATTGTTAAAGGCAACACCATTCAATCCTAATTTCTAGATCATTACTTTTTAAGCTTTCAAACTATTTTAGAATAAGAGCTTTTTGCCCTCAATTTTTTAAACGAATATTCGGGGATTGAGTTTGTTATTTTATAGAAAAATCAGAATTTTACCTGTAGATATTATATATGCTAGAGAATATACACATGTTTATGAATTAGCAGGATAGCAAGAAATTTAAAACTTATTTTGGACAGACAGCATCAGTTTCTTCCACTAATACTAATACTATGGACTTGCCTAAGTAGAAATGCTGGATTATATAGCTGGAAGGGAACAGCAGGAGGGAAAGAACACGGGAGACTGCAGCTGGGTGAACCAGGCGTAAGAACAGGAAGAAGGTTTGGGATGGGAACCATCACTGGGCACCTACATGCTAGACTCCATGTTCTATGTTTATCTCATTTAAACCTTATAATTACACTCTGAGGGAGGGTTTTGCTGTCCCAGTTTTATGGGTTAATTCTGTATTACCTCTGGCTTCCATAGTTTGACCTCTGCACCACCAGGTAGTTTATTGCTTTTTTTTTTTTTAATCACTTACCCATCTGGGCAGAAGTAAGAGTGAGTCAGTGTTTGGGTGGGAAGGAAGTCAGGCAGGAGCAAAATTGCAACATGCAGATGGCATTGCAGGCTGTGTGTGACTGCTGACACCATTATTCTTCAATGAAGCATGCATCTTAGTTTTAAACTGGTTGCAATACAGTAAAAGATAGTTTTAAAATATAACGTTTTGAATGGATATTTTAGACCTTATCCATATCATGAAGAATCCAGAATCGGTTACTAAAAAACACAATCTCTAATTATGCATGGGCTCTTTTCAGGGACTCTTCACAGTAAAGTTGGTTTTGACATCACTTCAAACTCTTGCCTTTTTATGTTTAAAGCAAAATTTATAAATCTGCAATGAACTCATAAGGTACTCACATTCTTTTGTACAGGACATGGCCTTTGGCAGCATTTTAGAAGCAGAAATGATCGCTTGAGTATGTAAGACCTACTAAAACATACAGTTTTGACTTTGCTGTCTTCAAAGCTGAAAAGAGTATTATATTAATTAAATGAGTTATATGATTCTCTTCCTTAATTAGATTCTCTTTAGGAGTAACTCATCACCATAGAAATATATAGAGTATCATCCAGTGAAAAACTAAAATTTTACTTTACCTTGGATTTTCGCTGTACTATTTTCTGCTAAATTTTGGCTATGGCAGTGTTTTATCGCTGAAATAGTCTGTCTCCTTTTGTAACGGTTTCATATGCACTGAAAAATAGTAGTGTTTTCTCAAAATGAACTATAGCAGGGGGACGTGGTTAATTGCCGAATTGGATGTGTAGCCTTCCTCTCCTATGTTTTATAATAGTGTGGCTTAGACTTCTCAAGAGTGAGCCCCTTGTTTCGTGAAACCATTTAAAATTACTTTTTTTCTCAGGAAAACTATTTGTCTTCCAATAAAGAAGTTTTATCATAGGTACTTTTCTTTTGTCACCTACATTGGCAAAATAAACAATTCCTCCCACTCCAAAGAAAAGAGTTACAGAGAACAGGTTACAGAACGTGAGAGTAGAGGAACACAAAATTTTATTTGAAGCAAAGGGGTATAACATGGCCAGTCACCTGAACAGTAGATTTCTCTAATACTTTACTATATTATTTTTAATGTTTACTTTCACTATTTTTTGTATTTTTTAATTTTTAATTACAGTTGTCATTCAAACTATATTACTCTTTCTACCTTTGTTTTTATTCCCTTAGAGGTAGCTAGACCACCTGTAGATGCCAAGTACAGTATATTCTTCCCTTTGAAATGTAAAGGATGTGTATATATTGCAGTTTGTGAAATGTTTCATGCACTGAAAATAGCATTGAACAGTACTTTCCTAGAGCTGAAGTTATCTTTTTCTAACTGTTGTCAACATTGTGCTGTCTCCCTGTGTTTAGAAAAATATTCCTTATAAGCTGAAGCTGTCCTGCAGTTCCCTCTGTTGCAGGATCTGTGGTTTTAACCCAGCTGCCCTCACAGCTCTCTTTGGTTCAGTCTCTTTAAAAGTCCCTTCCTACCCTTCCCCCTACAGAGTTCTGTCTGTTAAATCTTTATTTGTATGATCGCATAACTTTTATCTTGTCAGCCCCTAACCTGAGTTTGAATATTTAAAGCACCTTTTTTTGTCATCCAGAAACATGCTGCAAAACCATCACCTTGTTTCCTTAAGTCATACTATTTTCTTCTCTTTTTCTTTTCGAATCCTTTATTGTTTAAAGTATTACATATGTCTCCTTTTTCATACTATTTTCATTATACCAGCTGAGATTTTCCCCATTAATATTCATAACAAGTATTATTAGGGAGTGATGTCCAAATTCAACAACCAACCATTTGTAGTTTCTTTATTTTTACTGAAATCAGAATGTGTGGTATAATTCATTAAAAATATGTTCCTGCTAGAATAAGTTGGTCAAGTTGCAAATTGTTTTTATCCTGATATACTTGGTGCTGTTTTTAGTAGTCATTTGCTTCCCAGTGGATGTTCTCTTTCCAGAACCTTGACTAGAGGAAATTTACTAGAAGTTAGCAGAAGTGATTACATAAAGAATAAGGTCTGCAATAGAGTTTCAATAAAATGAACACTGAAAAATTAAACACTGATTTAGATCTTAGGGGGTTCTAAGGACATTAAACCCAGCCCCTACTTTCCAGGACTTTAAACTCCCCAAAGCTGAAATTGGTATAAACACAAGCAGATTACATAATAAGATATGACCACAAGATGGATAATTGCTGGCTGTGTATAGTAGCAAACAAATAGTTGTTCCAATATTAGTTGAAATCATTTTGCTTCTTAAACTGTAGACTTTGCTCACATCTTAAAACATGTGGCCTTGAAAACGTTATCTATTTGCAGGTAAAAGGCCTGCGTAGGTAGAATGTGATAACCAGAGTAACAGTAAAAACTAAAATAAGCTCATTTGAACATAGCAGCAAGATGCTATTTGAAACATGGTTGCTACTAAACAAATTCATGTTGCATCCTTAAAGCTATCTCCTCTGTCTAACTGAGAAGAAATTGATATCGTTGATACTGTTCTAGCATTGGGATGAAATGCCGCCTTCGGAAGAGAAGTTGGTTCTTACAGAGAAGTGACTTTAGCGTGAGCCAGCGTTAGCCGTGTTGGGGATGTAAAGGCACACGTGTTTCCCACCTTTCCTAGAAAATGCTGCAGGACGGTCTCCTGTTGCACTTTGAAACCGTGCCCGGCTGGAATACTTTGGGAAGAAATTGCCTGTGTTAAAGTTGCATTTTTTTAATAGTCATGTGAAGCAGCTGATTGCTCATTTTTAAGAAACTGTCCTAACAAAATAGCCTTCCACTTGCCTCTGAGGTGGGGAACCTTGTGGACAAGGATGTTAATTGACCGAATGTGAAACATTAAGCCCATTCTCACCGCCCGCCCTTTTGTGTTTCAGGCATCCTGACAAAAACAAACATCCTCAAGCAGAAGACAAGTTCATTGAAATTAGCAAGGCTTACGAGGTATTGTGTCAAACTTGGGGATGCATCTATTAGCTCTTACAAAGCATGTCTAACTGTGTAATAAAGTCTTCTCAGACAGGGCATATTCCCTATGCCCTTGACCCAGTTTCTAGATGATGGTAGAGAGACCCATATTTGGCCACATCCAGTGTCAGAACTAGTACCTGAGCACTTAAATTCTTTTTTAAAAAATGGCCTAACCTGGCCGGTGTGACTCAGTGGTTGAGCATCAACCTATAAACTAGGAAGGAGGTCATGGTTTGATTCCTGGTCAGGGCACATGCCCAAGTTGCAGGCTCGATCCCCAGTGGGGGGTGTGCAGGAGGCAGCCAATCAGTGATTCTCTCTCATTGATTTTCTATCTCCCTCTCCCTTCCTCTCTGAAATCAGTAAAAATACTTTAAAAATAAAAATTAATAGTAAATGGCCTGTTTTAAAGGCTTTAATTAGAATTGTAGGATTACCATGAAGGTATATCTCTATTTCCTCTTTAGAAACTTACATGATGTACTCCGTTGGCAGCACATATTCTAGAAACTTAAAGAACTACAGACCAATTTGCCTGTAGTTATTAATGTGACACAAGGTTGCAAATACATTTAAACACAAGATTTTCCACAGTTTTCTAACATGTCAGCTTAAGTAGTGTGCCCGGGAGACAAAAGATAAGCTTCCCACTTTGGACAGGGTAATGCTCTTCACCACACAGCCCCGCTCCTGGAATGACTTCATCCTAAAGCAGGGTCTCAAATTTCAGACGTCAAAGTTAATTCTAAGTAAAACAAAGTCGGCCAACACACAAGACACTGAACTCAGTCTGGGGTTACTTTTTGGTGTCCAGCTTTTCATATTTTGGTTTGAATCATTCCAATTAAGTGGCATGACCTAGTCCATTTTCTTGTGGTTGAGCCCTGATGGTCAACATTATGTTAAGTTTTATTTGTTTTACTGATGTGCTTAGTATTATGATAGTTCAAAAGTCTTTAAATCCAAGATGAACATGAGTAAGTGACTGGAGTAATTTGGTCTTGAAATACTTAATGTTTCTATTGAGAGAATGTTCTGGATGGAGAGTGACTGATTTAGAATATCTAATCATGTCATATCTACATTTACTTTCTTCTCATATCTTCCAAGCTGCTTACAGGAACATTCTTTGGGTAAACTTTTTTTCATTCCATAGATTTCTTTTTCTTTCTTTCTTCCTTTCTTTATAGATTCTTTCCCATGAAGAAAAGAGATCTGAGTATGATATCTACGGACAGGGTAGAGAGAACCAGGACCACCAGAAGCAGCAAGAGCATCGCTTCCGCCAGTTCCCAGGAAATTTTTATTTTGAGGAGTCGTTCATGCACTTCCCCTTCGGTTCTGAGCATCAGGAGCCCATTGATGAGAGACATTTATTGCACTTTTCATATTATGTGAATAAAGTGGTTCCCGATAGCTTCAAGAGACCCTACCTCATTAAGATCACCTCAGATTGGTGCTTTACCTGTATCCACATAGAGCCTGTTTGGAAAGAAGTAGTCGAAGAACTGGAAGGATTGGGTAAGATAATCTTATTCATTGGAAGAAGTTTATATGGGAGAACGTAACTTTCTAATCTTGAGTTTTATGGGATGTTGAGAATGAACAGCATGGTTTCTCTTCACAAGTTCATGGTGACTAGTATTTTCCAAGGACACATTTTCAGGGGGAAATGAATCAGCCAATTTCACTTTGCATTATTAATGTGAAGCTTTACCTATGTAGTCTTCTAACATCTAGCTGGGGGCCCAATACATAGGAGAAGCTTAAAAATGATTGGTAAACAAAGCAGCCCTCAAGCATCACTGTTAAGGCTGGTAGGATTTTCAGATTATTCGTATGGTATTTGTGATTTCATTGTGTATGTTAATTCTCTAGGGCTGCCATAACAAAATACCACATAAACAACGGAAATTTATTTTCTCGCAGTTCTCGAGATTAGAAAGTCCAGGATCGAGGTGTTGGCAGGGTTGGTTTTTTCTGCAGTCTCTCTCCTTGGCTTGCAGATGGTGGCCTTCCCCTTGTGTGTTCACGTGGCCGTCTCTGTATGTGTGCGTGGTCTGGTGTGTCTCTTTTTCTGTGTACTAAACTTTTTATAAGGACACCTGTCATATTGGATTAGGGCCCACGCTTAGAAGGCCCCATTTTAACTTCAGTGCGTCTTTAAAGGCACACTCTCCAAATACATTCACATTCGGAAGTCCCGGGTGTTAGGGTCTTGCAAGGGGTGGGGTGAGGGACACAATTCAGCCCATAACATCAATGGTCATCCGTTACCATTCTCGATCGCAGGTTAGTCTTTCCTTTGTTATCGTTACCACTTAGTGCCAGGAAAACCTTAGTGATCCAGGGAGGATATTTATTTTAATAACTCCGTAAAGTTAGAATTACTGAACTAAATGTGTGTGTGTGTGTGTGTGTGAGAGAGAGAGAGAGAGAGAGAGAGAGAGCGCAGACCTATTCTGAGTAACTAAAAAGGGACAGACAGCCTGAGGGGTATGTTTCTCTGGAGAGGGCATGCGCTGTAAAACCATTGGTTCATTTCTTCTAAAACAGACATTTCAACCTGTCGTTCAGAAGCACTCAGATTTGCCAAAATGCTTTCCTGAGATTGAATATTAAATGACAGTTTTTTTTGTTAAGTGCCTGATATATAGGAAGCACTTAATAAATTAACCTTAGAAAATTTCTGATTAACTAGGTTTTCTAGTTTACCAAAGTTAAATTTTTGAAAGCGCCCATTTTATAAGCTTCTTTTAAAAATCTTCCTGAAATGTATTGGTCTACTTTCTTCAACTCAATGACCGTCAAGCATCAACTTTTTACTTATTCTTTTGAAAGGTGATTAGGAGTTGGTTGGGCAGGAAGCGGGGGAGTAACATTAGGGCAGAAGGAACAGTGCCAGCAGAGCAGTGTTCTCAGAAGAGCCAGCAGCAGCAGGGCGTGACTGGGTGTAGGTAAGGGAGGGGGGGGGGGGGGGGGGGGGGCAGGAAGAGCTGGGAGCCAGGTAGTCAGGAGCCTCACATTCCGGGCTAAGGAAGCTGGGCTTCATTTTTTAATGTGTAATAAAGCCGAGAAAAGTTTTTATATAGAGGAGTGACCTAATCAGACCTACTCTCTAGAAAGCTAACTGTTAACGCTACGTGAAGGACAGGCTACAGAACGGGAGAGCAGAAGAAAGGAGGTTACAGCCCTAACGGCGGCAACCACTGGCTCGAACTAAGGCAGAAGGAATAGAGAGGAGGACAAGTGTGAGATACCCCCTTCTGCTAGGTCATCATCTCACACCAAAAAATTAATGAGCATTTCTTCAACCGCCAGGGACAAAAGGCTTCATGTAGGTCCCCCATACTTTCCAGGTATAGGGATCGGCGTGGTCCATGCTGGGTACGAGAGGCGCCTGGCCCGTCACCTGGGAGCACACAGCACGCCCTCTATCGTCGGAGTCATAAACGGGAAAGTCTCCTTCTTCCATAACGCGGTTGTCCCAGAGAACCTGCGGCAGTTTGTAGAGAATCTTCTTCCAGGGAACTTGGTGGAGAAAGTAAGTACCTGGCTGGGCAGCAGTGGGCGACGTGCCTGGCACTGACTGCTGGCTGCCCGGGCTCTGCCTGTGGTCACTTGAGCAGGGCAAGCGACGTGTGAATTAATGTATCATTCACACCAGGTATTTTCCATGGCGTCTGTCAGAGACTGAAATTGAACAGATGAAGTAGAGAGACACAGAGTTCCTCCCTGTTAATAACACTGTGCAGTTTTACGGTCCTAGGACTCGGCCTAAAATG